AGATAGATGGATAGATAGATAGATTGATTGATTGATTGATAGATTGATAGAGAGAGATAGATGGATAGATAGATAGATAGATAGACACACAGATAGAAAGACAGATTTATAGATAGATGTAGACAGATATATACATATATATATATATATAGATATAGACACAGATATGGGTATAGATACAGATAGAGAGATAGATACAGATATAGAGCTAAATACAGATATAGATATAGATATAGATACAGACAGCAGATACAGAGATAGATATAGATACGGAAACAGATATAGACATAGATACAGATACCGTTATACATAGGTACAGAGTCAGTATATACATATATATGTGAACAGATGATCTCCTCCCCGCAGCCCAAACCTTGTTAACATAAGTCGTAAACATCCCAGCTTCTGCTCGGGAAAGATATAGGTGCGTGGGTGCGTAATGCATCCATGCCAAAGTTCGATAATCCCATATTTCCAACACTTCGACAAAACCGCAAGCCCATAGTTCCGGTCTATGTTCTGGTATGTAACAACTCCGCAGTTTCATATCCATAGCTCCGTAATTTCATTATCACATCATTGCGCAGCTGCAAACTTCCACAATTCCATCCTTGCACAGTTTCACGATCCCACGATTTCAGACGTTCCCAAATTCCCTCGAGCTCTGGCGAGGTTCGAAAAAGCTCGCACTGCTGAAGCAAACCCGTGCTCCAACCGTTCAACAATTTCAAACACACAAAAAATCTTAATCTCTACACACAGTTGCGAAATCCTCTTCCAAAGCATGTGCGCATGGGATTCTGGGATTGTCGTGGGTTCGTGATCTGTATGGTCATCGGGGAAGCATGGCTTGGGCATGGACGGGAATGACCTTCACGAAAATGCTACAGTTGCCAGAGAGCAATCTACGAGTAGTTCCGTGAAGCATGTTCAGATGAAGGGTGACATGGCTTGGGGTTTAGGGTTCAGTGCGAAGCCACTTGGAAGTGCTCGAAGAGAAACGCAGCCCAGCAACAACACGCTGAGGTCTTTGTACTCCGACTTCAGGATGCTCAGAACCTTGCAACAAGCTAGCGGCTAGCGTGACAGTATGTAGGCTGCGGACTGAAACATCAGGTTCCATGCGTAAGGAGTGAAGCCACATGCAAGTAGATAGTCATCGGGCCGAATGGCCTGGGGCCCGAGTCCATCCGCAGTGTGGTGGAAGTCGCTGAGAATCTGCTCACGGATCCGCGAACTTCCTGGCGATTCGTTTACACAAGGGCTTGTGCCTGCGGCTCTCGGGCAGGGGCAAAGCTGACAGTTCTGCACTTCTTTGGGTGAACAGAACCGACACGTTTCCTATAAAATTGAGTGCGAGTAGGGTGACCTCCTGCAGGATCAAGCCAGCGCCCGGTCTGGACAGCTCTTTCCAGCATCCCTTGCCAGCGGTTGTCGATGTTCCGCCGCATGGAGCCATCTCTTTTCATACCGTCCTCACCCAGGTGCCTTGGGACAAGCCCGAAGTCCGAAGTTCGCTGCATGCTAACACAAAAAAGATCAAAAAAAAGAAAGTATGTCAATGTCTTCCCAGCAACTCCGACTTCCGCTTCTTACTGCCTCAGATCAGCATGGGGGGGGGGCTTGCACAGGAAGGCATTTCTGAACCTCATGTCATAGCATTAAGCTGCCGTGGATCAAGCTGTTGATTTGCACACCCGGTTCGGACTGCGCGATTGGTTAGTTTGCTGGCAACCTTTCAGGAACGCCTGTGATTGCCTGACAGCTGGGGGTTCATGCCAGCTAGAATCTAGAATGATGTGCAAGCTTGAGTGGCCCAAATTTTCTGACATGCTTCCAGTATCCACTTCCGCCTCCTTGTCCAAGTCTTCATCGTCGAGATCATCTTCCGTCGCCAGCGGGCGTTCGAAGGTAAACCATGCCTCGGCAACGCGGAACACTTTCGCTGATGCTCTGCTGCTGAGGGCACCGAGCTTGACGCACTAACTGGCTGGAGCTCGTAGCCTCCATCAGGCTTCGTTATCAACCTCAGACTTCCAATCTTCACGCCGCATCTCTTCGTGCTGCTGCACAGGCTGCGTCCAGGCCGCAACCAGTGCAGATCGGGCTTGATGTCCACTTGTTGTCCAGGGCAAGATTTGCCAGCAAGGTTCAGCGTTGTGTAGCCCTCATTATCGCAGGACACCCATCGCTGTTTGTCCTGACACAGAAGAGGACCAGACAGGTCCAGGGGTTCCCAGTCGTTTGCAGTCCTGTCGAGCAACCTCCTCGTAAGAGACGTGCGAAGCTCGGCCTGGCTCCGAGCGGGATGCACGGAGTCTTCGTAAGATCTCTTTTTCTTTTAGCCCGTTCCGGGCGCCTACGGCAACACCTGGTCCTATGGCTGCCAGTGTGGCGCCAACCATGCGCCGCGCGACTTCCTGAGCAAAGCTCAAGGCTGACGCCGGGCCTGCGGCATCCATGCTCGAAATGTCACGTAACCGCAACCGAACCAGGGCAGACGTGTCTCTTGGAGTCGGCAGGGTGCGCCGGGCTTGCGATCAGCACCGGTCAGGAAAACTAGCCTCTTACTTGCACAACTTCCGGACTTTACATGATATTCCAGGACTGCATGCCTGCTCGACATAGCTTCGAGTGAGTGTTTACGCTGAATGCACCTGGGCTACAGGCAGAGGCTCCGTGGCATCATGGCTATGTTCATGGCTATGGCTGACCTTGAGAGGACTCCTACTGCGCAAGCGTATGCACGCAACTTGGCAACGTAATTCCTGCGAATGGGCGGCAACATCGACGAAATTCTACGAATCATCGCAGTCTTTTTCTGATAACTGACTTCCCCGCAGCTCACTGAGGTTCTCCCCTGAAAGTCTGCCCCGCAATCCCAAGCACGCACGGCTTGGTCGGCAGAGCTGAATTCCAAATAGAAAAAGAAGGAATCCGAGCCTTCTATCCTTGAGCGATCTGAATCGGAAAAGCACATTCCTGGTTCAATTCAGATGACAACTTTCGGAAATGTACAAAGCGTTCCTCTGTCGGAGGGCTTGGGGAACGCTGCCGTTTCGCAAATTCCACAGGCCGATCCCTCTGCACCTCCCAGACCACCACCAGGAGAGGCTGGCTCTGAATGACATGCCCACAGCTCATGCGGCCTGCCAAGCATGGACAATGACAGGGACGGCCTTGATTCCGCGAATCTTCCTTCCATCGCAGACATGTGGGACTCTGCAGCCATCGGATGCAACTGGTACTGCTGCCTTAAGGATGCGGTGGCTGCATCGCGAACGCTGGCATCGGGGTTCAGCAACTGTGCCTCGGGAGGTCCGCAAAGCATGTAGGGCTGCCTCAAAGGACAGCCTTCTTCTTGACACACTGAGCTCACTCTCCACTCTGTACCATGTTCTGAGAGTCGGGCCTCAAGCTCCTCCACCGCACGAAGATGGGCCTGCTTGAACGATTCAACAGCATGTCACCTGCTGGACACAAACTCCCAGCCTGTCCAGAAAGCTCACCCAGGGCCTGCGCAGCAATCGCAGATAGCTCGCTTTTCGGCGAAGAAGTGGCTTCCCGGGCCTGTGCAGCAGAGCGCTGGACCACAGCGCAGTCGCTCTCCAAGCACCGACCTGAGGGAGAAATCCCCAGGTCTCGCGGGAGTCTCTCGGATTCTCTCGAAAGACTCTCGGAGCTGGACTGAGTGCCGACACAACGGCCTGATCACCAGCTCGAGCAACCTGCTGCCAAGCTGTGACGTGGGGATCTATAAACAAATTTGTTAGTGCTGCCTTCGTCAGCGAGAAGACTGCAGCTGCGCGGCAGTCCGGGTCGGAGTGGGTAAGGAAACGGGACACAGAGGCGATGGCCACCTGATCTCCGCGATCGCCAGCTTTCGCCATCTTGGACAATGCCTCAATGGCCTCTGATCTCACCTCAGCCACACAAGCTCAGGCCATGGCTTGTCAGTGTTGCTTTTACACCCCCTATCTCAGCAGGAAGGCCAAACAAAATACGAGGATCTGCGGCGTCCTTGAGACAGTCCGCAACAGCAGCTATAGCCGTGGCGTCGCTGCGCTTTCCTTCAGAAGCACGGGTCGCAAGCGCCGCTGTGGCCCGAATTGCTGCTATTCGGAGTCTCGGTTGGTCGTGGGTCGCACCAGAAATCAGCGGCAATAAGCTGCAGATTGTCGTGGCGTCCCCCCGCTTGCTGAGCTCCGCAACCGCTATCACTGCAGCTTCACATACGGATGGCTCCACAGATCTGAGCAGTGTCAGCAGGCATTCAATGACGCGCGAGTCGCACTTCCTTGCAACGGCTTGCAGCGCCTGCACACAGGCGACCTGAATGCCTGCGGCTGGCTTTCGCTCAAGGATCCTCAAGATGCTAGTAGCGACAACACCGTTACCCCGACGCGCCAGCCGAGCAAGTGCAAGGAGAGCTTCCCGAAGAGCATCATGATCATCGCGGCCATCATGCCCTAACGCAGGCAAGAGATCCACCAGCATAGCAAGCACGGAAGAATCACCTCGACGGCTCAAAGTACCAATGGCTTGAATAGCCGCACAGATGACTTCTACATGAGCTTTCTCAGCCAGCCCTTGGCGAAGAGCTGATAAAGCAGTCTCATCACCGGTCTTCGCTACCTGTGCCAAGGCTCTCGCTGCAGCACACTTTACCTTCGGATCTGCAGCGGCAGAGAATATGCGACTCGAAGACCGGATGGCTGTGACGTTGCCGACAGTGGCGCAGGCTGCCAATGCATCCAGAGCAACAGCTGCGATATCCGAAGCATCCTCCAACCGAAGCAGCAGGGTAGACAAAATCTCGGCATCCAATGCTTCATCGCCTGTTCTGCCGAGTAATTTGAACTTGCCAACTGCGTCCAAACGAACTTCTCTGGACGTGTGTTTCAGGTTCCTCAAGGCCCAAGCAGCACAGAGGCGCTTCGACCGCTCACCTCCGCGTCCTATCTTCAAGAAGGCTGTCATGCATAAGCTCTGAATGCTCAGGTCAGTGTCAAGCATACCCAGCTCTGCTACGTCCCGATAAGCTGGATGACTTACACATGCGAGGTATCGGGCAGCTGAAATCCGCAGTTGCGGTGGCTGTGTCCGCTGCAAGGCCGCGTGCAGTACCCCAGCCATCTTGGGAACAAGCTGACTTCCCAAACATTGGCCTTGAACATTCTCCCTCGTGGGTGACTGGAAGCCAGCTTCTGAGCTGAACTGAAGCAGAGCTTCCAGGCACCGCTCCCGAACCCGACACGGCTGCTCGGGCGTCCCAGCTGCATGCACCAGCTCCCACACCACCCGCTGATCTTCTGCAGAAAGCGCCTCTAAGCAATCCACGGCGGCCAAGCGCACTTCGATGTGCGGGTCCCCACGAAGCCGCCCCAGAAATGCTTGCGCATACTGCAAGAACCAGCCCTTTTCGCTGGCCATTCGATAGATCTGTCTGGCCGATATCAAGGCGGCTCGTCTGACTTCCATGTCAATGTCCATCACGCGACCGAGCACTGCAGAGCTGGCCGACGAGTCTGCAAGCGACAGTTGAGACAAACTGGTCACGGCTGCTCTTCGCACGATATGCTCCCGATCCTTATTTGCTCGCTGCGCCTCTCCGACGTCTCAGCTTTGCGGCCTTTCTGCAGCCAGTCGCGAAACCGCTGTGGAGCCAAGCGACTGATAATGCAGACCTGCAGGCAGCGGGAAGGAAGCAAGTGCATTGCTGAGACCCTCCGAGCTGAGGACCTGGCTTCAATGCATGGACCACAGCCTCGTGTCCCCGTGCCGCCAGGGAGGGCAAGCAGCTCGCCGCGCTCTCCCGCACGTCCACACACTCATCTTCCAAGACCTACTGGTAGCAGGCGGGACCCCCGAACTTGACCGGGGTTTCTGGCCTCCGGACCCGCCTTCTCTGCCACCAGCTCACTGACTTTTACGTTCATCGCGGCTCGAACGTTGCTTTCCAAAACCTCCGGGAGCACGGTGATGACAGCTTGCCGCACGCGCCAGTCAGGGTCCTCATGCGACACAGTCCAAGCAGACTCCAGAAAGTAAAATCAGCGAGGGAGAGAAGGAGAGCAAGAGAGAGAGAGAGAGAGATCGAGGGAGAGAGAGACAGAGAGGCAGAGAGAGCCAGGCGAGGCGCACTTCACGAGGAGCAACACAACATCGAGACGATCGGTGCGGAGTAAGCCTTCGACTAGTTCCGGACATGGAGAGTCCTGAAGTCTCTGCTGCAGTGCCGTCGCCACGTCCACATGGCCGCGCCCGCCGCGCTCACAAAACTTCCGAAGGGCAGCGAGCTTTCCTGAGGCGGCCGACAGCCGATGAACTTCACTAGAAGCTTCAGCAGCTCCTTTCGCGAGTGGTACGTTCAACCTTTTGCCATCAAGCGTCTCCAGAAAGAAGCGACAGAATTGCCGGCCGCTTCGCTTGCCTGGTGGAGTGAAAACACAGTCGATTCTGCCGGCACAGTCAGCATCGCTCGCCGTGCAAGAAATCGCTAGCCCTTCCGGCACGAGCATAAAGATTTAGCGTGCTGATGCATGCAATGAGAATGAGAGGTTGCAACAGGATCGTCAGCTGACAACTGCTCACTGCTCACACTCTCTACATGGCCAAGTTGGGCTGGTTAAGGTGCGGCTGCCAGTACTAACATTGTGCAGAGTGTCCCACAAAGCAGCCGTGATCTGAACTGGCCATGAAGGCTGGAGTGGCACTGCCTCACTGGCGTAGGCCAGCCGATGCGCCAGCACGGCTCCGACGTTGAGGTGTCGGTTGGCCATGCCCTGCAGGGTGCAAGCGAAAATCGATAAGAGCCTATCAGCACCTTCCCGAGCCGAGCAGACAATCGAACGCCTTTGCAATTCGAGACGTTGCTCGAAGTCGAAGCCCGGAAGCCACGTCGAGCATCCCACTCCAAGGGAGGAGCCCCAGGTCATCGAGCAAACGGGCCGCCATTCTTCAATGGCGCTACGACTCCGTCACTGCACGACTCCGCTATAAGCCTCTGAGCCGAAGCCTTGGACCTGGCGGCAAAGCAGTGTGTCGAGCAGAGAGTTCTCACCCGATCATGGCCACACAATTANNCCCCCCCCCCCCCCCCTCCACTTCTTTGCGGTCTTGCGCGCGTATCAGGTGCATCCGGACGCCATCGGTGCACTGTTCTGTCCAGGTGGCTGAAGCCGGCTACTGGCGTCATTCTCGCCGCCGACACGATGGTGTCCGACAGGCGCGGCCAGCTACAGCATTGCGGTACGTCGATGCAGGGAGGCAAGTTGCCTCTGCTCGAGGATCACTGCTTCACAGCTTTCTGTCCGCGCAGTCCTGCAGCGCAACACGATTTCCGGGCAGTCATCCCATCCTGTGCGCTTGGACCCCGACAGGCTCAGGTTCGATGTCGAGCTCGTGAAAGGACGAGCCTTGCACAGACATGTCGAGCCGGCCCCCTTGGCACCCGTTTTTCGGTCACTCCCAGTCCTCTGTCGTATGCTACATCGTAGGTCAGGCAGCAGCTGTGCTGCGTGCTTGGGGACCCAGGACAACAACTCACATTGAGGCCTGAACTGCAGGCATTGCTGTCCGCGTCCTCAAGGGCCAAAGCGGCAGCGGCTCTCGTCTCAAAATGCTCTGCCAGCCAGTGTGCTCCTGTTCCACCTCATCGTCCTCGCCATCCCAGAGCGTGGCGTTGACCTGACCAACACCAACTTCTCATGGGCGGAGAGGCAAAAGACAGGCACCTTGCCCCCGTCGAAATGCAGCACCACAGGACCTCGATCCGTAGGCGCCTCAACCGAAGGCGGCCGTGTCAGGTAAGCTTGTCTTATGACTGAGGACAGACGCAAGGCCACCACGACAACGTTGCATTGCTCCGACGGCCAGCCACCTCACGGAGCACGGCGAGGGGACGCGGCGGCTTTCGGGATGGCACGGATGGCACTGCATCTCCGGATTGCGGAAGCTGAGTCGTCCTCAGGCGGAAATCTCTCGTCCAGGAGGGGCCTGCCGGAGTTGCCCAGCCTGCCAGAGGAAGGCGGGAAGCGATTTTAGGCTCACACGCACTAACAGGCGGCGGTAGGCGGCGCGAGCGACGGCGCCTTCTCCCGTATGCTCCAGGCCCTCAAGCGAAGGTCGGCCTCACTCCGAGCCCGTCACTTCGAGTCGGAACTCCGAGTCGGAACTCCGAGTCGGAATGCGCTGAACTCCGACCGCTGAGCCTCGGAGTTCAGCGCCAGGGATGCCCCGGAAAGGGAGACCAAGGCGTCGCTCCAGCCCTCCTGCAGTACTTGGAGGTTCTTATAAGTTATAAGTAGGGTAGCTATACTTATAACCCATAGTAGGGGACTTATAACCCCAATTATAACTACCCATGAACCTCCAAGTAAGGATTCGTCATGTCGCTGCTTCAAGCAAGCACTCCGAAGGGGAGTCCTCCACGTCGAGACCCGTCAGGGAGATGCCACAAGCGCAGCGTTCGATATGAGTACCCTGCCGGCACAGCCCAGTTAAGGAGCGCAAGAAGCATTACCCTCTGCGCAAGAGAAAACTGCGGCAAGAAGGCGCAAGTTCACAGCGATAGGCGAGACAAGTACATTTGCTGGGCTTCACGCTGCTTTCCCGTCGATATATAGGCCGCGACCCTTCACCCTGCAAACTGGTTCCTGATGCTGGCCTCGAGAATCGCGGCCGCAGCACCCCCTGCCAGTGAAATGCCCACCTGTCATGCGGCCAACACAGCCATTTCTAAGTGCCCCAGAAGTGCAAAAAGGTTACTTCGAAATGAACGGGTCACTTCGGAAGCAGCTCCTAAAACCAAGCCTGGCAGTCCCGAATTACGCTTCGCAGGATCTGAACAGCGCTTCCAGAATGAGCTGCAACTTCGATGCCTCATATCTGACGATTCCGGCAAGCTTTCGTCCGAAGCGAGTTGAACAGGAAGGAGCCCTCCAGATTTGTTCATGGCTCTGAGTAGTGGCGTGGCATGAGAGATGGCTGGCGCAAAACTCCATGAGAAGCTGAGAAGCCAATGCAGTAAGTACAACTGGAGAAGTACTGAAGAGAGATAAAGCCCCACATTGACATGCCGAAGGAAAGTGATAAAAACTGCTTTCCAGACACTGTCTCTGCTCTGCTCAGCACCCCACCGACGCCACTTCCACACGTATCAATCTGACACCGTGTCAAAATGTCGCTCGAAAGGCAAGGCTTGCAAATGCCGGGCCGAGCCTCACAGCGCTCCACGCTGCAGCCACCAGCAAGAAGCAGGGCAGGGCCCCCTCCAACAACCCGCAGATGCAAGCGACTCAACCTTAGAGAAACAAGAGTTCGCAAAACCAAGCTGATGCGTTGCGTATGTTGCGTGCAGTCGTGCGGCCGTGTGCGACTCAATCTGCTAAGCACAAGGCACTACGGTGTTGGCAGCACCACCCGCCGCCACAATCAATCCTTCCTGACAATGGCACTGCGATACGACGTGATGCCGGCATTCTGGCAAAGCTACATCCCTGTTGCGGACGGCCACTGTGGGGGACTGTCGCTCTCGCGGTTCAGAAAGCGAAGGCACAAACCCTAGCAGCACAAGAAGCACTTTGCCGCCTCGCCCTCCAACTTCGCGGAAGTGTCTGCAGGACCTTCGATGTACACGGCCTCATCACACACCAGCAGTGAAGGGACCAAAAGCTATTAAACCCTATAACCCCAAACCCTGAGACCCTACAAAGCCAAAGCCCGAAACCCTAAACTCACGTGTGATACCCCAAAGTGCTCGAATTGCACTGTGACGCTTCAGCTGCAGAAAGTCACTTGGCAATACAGCCTACCGTGCGGGAATGTATTTGTATCGAGGTATAAGGCTCCACCAAACATTCGCAAGAACAAGTGACAAGACAATGGACCAACGCAATTTCAGCTGATTCCCCCAGTGCTGCTCACACATTCATACCTTTTGGCAAGAGCTCTGCGCTCCTCCGTGCATGGCACTGAGCTCCTGGGACTCAGCCCGTGTGCCCTGGACCCTTGAAAGCAATGGAAAGTCTGACCAAACTCAAAACCGAAACCCCTGGCCAATGCTGTGCTCAATACTCAAGATCCCATGTCTTACGGCCTAACTTCAGCTTCCCAGGACCTCTTAGACAAGGAAAGCGTCAGCCTGTGTGACTGTCTTTTCAGGTACTGGAATGAAGCATATGACCCATGCTTGTTGCCCAAGTTTCGATAGGCTCCTGGACCCAACGCGACTTCCGTTGCAACTCTATCTTGTAACATGTACAGGTTCTGTTTATCTTAACCGCTTATCTCTTATATACAGACTTCAGAGAACCGACCGTCTGTTCGTCTTTTCGCAGCCCCGGCTGTATGGATAATACATAATACAGTATGATACAATGTTGTATAATATGATACAATGTGATATCATATGATATCATATGATATCATATGATATGCTATCATACACCGCAACATTACATCGCATAATGCTAGGTTATATTACATTACACCCTAGATGCTTCCGAGAGCTACGTGGGTCTGAGCTCTGGGCATGGTCGAGGATCAAAGGGAACGCCAGCGTCTCCGCATGACCAGGCCTCGGCTCTCAGGTTCTGGTTCTGTATACATGTGTATACATATATATATATATATGTATATATATATATATGTGTATGTATATATATATATATAGAACATATATATACATATACATATGTACATACGTACTATATGAACATGAATATAAATAGAAAACTAGATCTTACTGTGCTGTCGTGTGTTACAATATATGATAATAACCTATTATGTTGCGCGAGATTCTACTACAGTATACCCGGTCAAAGTTCGTTAACTTATGTAATATGAAACTATGTTACATATATATATATATATACACATGTGTATGTATATATACATAGATATATACACGTGTATATATATATATATATATATATGTATATGTATGTATGTGTATATATATATATATACATACTATACTATATATTAGAGGTTGCATATTATAACAGGTCAACTATATATTGACATGCTGTTTTAAATTTTTTGTCATATGATATTATGTTGTTATACTGCACGTGAAAACTTTGAACCACATTTTTCATCATGGAAATTGTGCTTTCGTAGATTGTTTATTGTATACCACATTTCGCATAGTGTATATTACTGTATATTACACATAATATTTTGTAGAGTATGAGATATATATATATATACACATATTTACATTATACATTATCATAAATGTACATTGTGAACCGCGTCGTATGTATGTGTACATATATATATATATATGTACACACACCATAGATCATGAATGTATGTATGTATGTACCTATGTATGTATGTACGTACGCATGTATGCATGTATGTATATATGTAGAGTTATTTATCTATATACATTATCTGTACATAAACAGATATGCAGATTCAGATACGAATACGGATATAGACATAGATATAGATATCGATATAGGTACAGATGCATACAGATACAGCTATAGACATTGATATAGAAAAGAAATAGACATAGACATAGACATAGACACAGATATAGATATATATATATATGCTCTTCACAAGACCAGGAAAACGGCCAGCAAGGGGCGGCGATGGCTGGTGTTCTTTTGGGCTGGCGAGAAGCAGCTCAGCTTAGCTTCGCCATGGTCTGAACGAGTCACTAACAACTAACCACTGCTCAATTCTGCCAATTCTTGCTCAGGGATTCATTGGTCGCCGCAGGAGGCGGAATGTGTGAGTGCCATGACGCCTTCTGCTCACTCTACAGTTAGAGTCTCTTCGAAAGATCACCCTTGAATAATACCAAGCAGTGCACTGCCGCTGCAAAACTTTGAGACAGTTCCAGCCCCCACAGCTAGGAACACCCATCGCTGTCGAGCGGGTGCACCTTTCTTTGCCAAGGAACCCCTCTTCTCCGCGTATGAAGACAAACTTCAAAAGCCGCTAGTCGTAGAATCTAGTGTCGAAGCGCTTGAGAATCTGGCAAGAGCGAACATGCGCCTGATTTGCCTGTGCAACGGTTTCCTGCGGCTTCGCCGCAAGCAAGTCTGAAATGGAGCTCACATCTCAGTTTCGTTCAGCCCAGGAAACTCATCACCTTTCAGGGTCTCAGGCATCATGCAATGTGCCACAGGAACACTGGCAGTCAAAAGGACGCAAGTGCTGCAGTCGCGTAGCCATCGTCGACGGCAAAATCCTCAGATTCGGACATTCAGAGATGGAACATTTAGCGATGAATTCAAACCTCAGTGTTCTTGAAGACCCACCCACATGCAGCTTTTCTTGTCTCATGCGACTATGATGCAAGATGCCAACGTGATGTAAACTACTGCTAGCAACAGCCTAGCAATGGTAGAAGCACCGGGGCTCCCATTGCTCCTTTGGCGCAGACTCCCGTGGCTCCTTCTCCTCTTTGGCGATGGGTTGCCTGGAGGAACTTGTGTTCTCGCAAGAAGGGGCCTGGGCCCGGGCCGCCCACCTTAAAGGGGTATTCTAGTTCCCCTAAGGGGTACTATAAGGGTTCCTTTTAAAGGGGTATTATAAGGGCCCCCTTAGAGCCAAGATGCGGAGGTATCCGCTGGTCCAAGGGCGGTAGCCGACTCAAGAGCTTCTTCAAGGGCTCGGCCTCAGCAAAGCGCTGTTGCAACGCAGCTGCGGCCGAACAGAAAAACGAGGCTGGCTGCCGGAATCCTTCCGGGGCTGGGCGACTCACGTCGGCCGTTCGGAAAAACTTGGCGTTTCTATCGCAGACCTGTCCAGATCGCCCTTGTTGGAAGATGTGCAATTTCTAGCACCCAGCAAGCAAGGTGCACCGCACTCCTTTGCCCTGAGCCTCTTCCATGGTCGGCCGCTTCTTCGGATCTTTCTGTAGACACATTTCGATGAGGTCTAAGAAGTGGTGCGAGAGTTTCCTGCATGTCGTGAATAGCTTGAATAGCAGTCATCCTGCACAGGTGACCCAGATTCCTGCAAAGCTACGGAGAGCTTTGATCGACCTCCGTGAGCGGACTACAAAGCAGCCAAGCCGTCCTGTTCGCCTTGGGCGGATCTTTCTCTATGATAATTTTCATGACCTGCGACATGCACGGAATGCTGATTGCGTTCAGGTTGGATCGGAGAGCAACAGGACACGGTGTGGCGATTGCTCTGATGATGCCATTGCTTTGGGGGAGTCCGGCCTTCAGAGGGTGCATCCTTTGGTAGGGCGCCTCTCCGTTAGCCAGCTCAATGGCCGTGATTCCTTAGAGCATCAAGACGTGGCCAAGCCTCGGGGATTAATCTGCGACTGAGAACTGTTGAAGTCCGGTCGCCATAAGACCAGATGTCTGCCTGCATGTGAAGCCGACCGGTGATGCTTGTAGCTTGCCAGATCATACATACTTTGAGGCCGGTCAATAGCATGGGGACCAGTAACATCTTATAGTTCACCACTTGCATCCGGTCTAGCTCTGGCCATTTATCCTACTGGGTATGTTACGTCTGATGCTTCAGACCCACCGCATCTTGCTGCACAATTATGCACAAACATCAGACAGAGTTCCTTCGATGGGTTTTGAAACGGCAGGCTCGGACTCGGATGTCCAACGTGCAACGACCACCACAGAAAGCTCCTGGTCTTCCTTCGAATTGACTGGATATAGGCTGACGTCACCCACACTCAAACACCAACTTTGCTCGAGGGCAACGTTCACCCAGTCCACAAAACCGAGCCTTGTAATCATAGCCGTTAGTTTGTTCTAAGACCTGGAACGGGCATTCGCAATGTCAGGATGATCGCTGGCATCTGCAAACACTCTCCCACGAGCCTCCGGGGCCATCCAACAGGGAGTGCCAACGAAAGTTTGTCGCTTCTTGTCGTCCCTGAACGAACTGCACAAGGACAGCTTCACCTGACGAAGCACCTTGGCTCCTCCTGCCTGAGGGGCGCAGCGACGCCAAAGTCTGACAGGAATACCTCCGACTCTCGCAAAACGGCCCAAAGTGTCTCGCCATGGACTGACCCAGCGACAAAGCCAGGGACTAGGCTGAGTAAATCTGTGGGCCTTTGCATCCAAACTGAGAAGGATGTTCCCTGCTTTGAGATCTCGATGAATCTGCATGTTGTCGTGAAAGTACTTCACGGCCTGGCAACGTTCCCTCTCTCGTGCTCTTGCAGGCACTACGTCACCTCGCACGGCCTTGGCAGTTTCTCGCAGGATGTATGCAATGATGCTTTCATCCTCGAAACCCATATGAGTGCAGGTAGCCCTCATCACCTCATGGAGGTCAACCGAAATCCAAGCAACAAGCATGCACAAAAACACTGGAAAAGCGCAGCTGAGATCTGAGCATAAGCGCAGGAGCCACCCTCCAGCAGAGGCATCACCTGCTGAGGAGTTTGGTGTGCATCCCCCATGAGCACGGAGGAATACACACAAGTCGGTACCTGCAGGAGCTATGTGCAGAAATGCCACTCAACGTTTTCCAACAAGTCACTAACCACATCTGTCTTTTGGCTGGGAACGCCACCTCGGAGACGCAGGCATTGCTCCCGAATAGGACAATAGAGCATCCGTAACGAAACCGACAGCTTTCAAGCCAGGGACGTGGTACGCGATGACATTCTCATGGCGACACATCCTTGAATGCGCCAATGCGGAAGCTGCCGGGCCAAGACTTCCGTAGGAGCTCATTTGACAAGGACGAGAAGCTTCATCATCTGCAGCTCTCGCCGGATCTCTTCCAGGCTCGAATCCGCAAATCTTAGCGCCGGGAGCTTATTTGTCCCCAGAGAGAGAGAGAGAGAGAGAGAGAGAGAGAGAGAGAGAGAGAGAGACAGAGAGAGACAGAGAGAGCGAGAGCGAGAGCGAGAGCGAGAGCGAGAGCGAGAGCGAGAGC